GAGGCCCAGGGGGATTTCAGCAGAAACACGACTCAGTCATGGGGTGAAGCGGGGGGTGACGTCACCACGGTGCTTGTGCCAGGCTAGGTGCATGTGTTCACGGGACAGGCCCAGGTGCCATGAGTTGGCAGTGCTCCCCCGCTGTGTCAATTTGCATGTGTTTTATCCGCCCGGCGCTTCACTCGTTGTTGTGAGCGTCGCCCCTTTCGCCCTCCGCTGTTGCGGGAGGGCGACTGCCTCCAACTGCCCAGTAGCAGCAGCATCCTTCACGAGCCACCTCCACAGAGGCCGATCTTGACACCGCTGGTAACAGTCATCGGCAAGTCCACTCAGCTCCACGTCCTGCTGTACCACATCACTCCATATCCTCTCTAGGCCGTCCCGTGCCCATTTAGCCCCTTCTATCCAACAGCAGCGGCGATATGAAGACAATCAGCAGCATCAATACCGTGATCAGTAGCAGCGGCAGGGAGTTTTTAGTGTCCAATGTGAGTGAAGCAGCCGGCCGTGTGGTGTTTCCGTGGTGATTACACACCGCAGTATTTACCAGGGCGGCCGCTGGTTCCGAACCGCGAACCTCTGCAACAAGTGGCGAAGGCGCGTCACCGCCCCTACTGCCGATGATGAACCCAGAAGCCCCGCCCCCCACTGACCTCCCCTGCCACCCACTGACGCACCCCCCCCGCCCCCCCCGCCCCCCAGGAGCATCGTGTCGGACACGTTCCAGCGTGCGAGCGCCATCCAGGCGGTGGTGAGCGGCGGCGGCGCGGAGCACGTGCAGCGGCTGTTGGAGCTGCAGCAGCACGTGGCCGTCGTGAAGAGGGACCTGGGCACGCTGGTCCAGGAGGTACGGGGACCCTCAACGCTCACCTCACGTGCCCTCGCTCGTCGGTAACACTGTGTGTCTCCAAGAAATAGACTGACTATGCGACAGGCGACGTTTCGGGCAATGGCCCCCTTTTCACAGCAGAGAATAAGTCTCGTCTCACGTGACCTCGCTCCTCACCACGGCCAGGTCCGTCCGCATGGCTGACCCGGAATATATTTCCGCAGCCCGCACACCACATCCAGTATAGCAGCACCAGCCCTCACCAGCTCCAGCCCTCACCACCCCTCACCACCCCTCACTAGCGCTACCACTCACTAGCACAACCTCTCACTCACAGCCACCCACGCCAGCCCAGCAGGCGACCCGCAGAATATCGCGAAATGCAACCGGAGTCCTCACCCCGATTCTGGCTCCTCACTGCACTCCTCACTTCACTCCTCACTGCACTCCTCACTTCACTCCTCACTTCACTCCTCACTGCACTCCTCACTTCACTCCTCACTTCACTCCTCACTGCACTCCTCACTTCACTCCTCACTGCACTCCTCACTTCACTCCTCACTTCACTCCTCACTGCACTCCTCACTTCACTCCTCACTGCACTCCTCACTGCACTCCTCACTTCACTCCTCACTTCACTCCTCACTCCACTCCTCACTTCACTCCTCACTGCACTCCTCACTTCACTCCTCACTTCACTCCTCACTGCACTCCTCACTTCACTCCTCACTTCACTCCTCACCCGACGTCGCCGCAGGCCGCAAGGGGGCAGTGCCCCCCGCCCCCGGCCTGCGTCTCCACCCTGAGCTTCGTGCTCTTCTCCGGGATGCAGACGGCGCTGCTGCTGGATACCTGGCCTACAGGTGCGGGCCCTCGCCCACCTACTCACCACACTCACCCAGCTACTCACCACACTCACCCAGCTACTGACCACACTCACCCAGCTACTCACCACGCTCACCCACCTACTCACCACGCTCACCCACTTACTCACCACACTCACCCACCTACTCACCACGCTCACCCACCTACTCACCACACTCACCCACTTACTCACCACACTCACCCACTTACTCACCACACTCACCCACCTACTCACCACACTCACCCACCTACTCACCACGCTCACCCACCTACTCACCACACTCACCCACTTACTCACCACACTCACCCACTTACTCACCACACTCACCCAGCTACTCACCACACTCACCCACCTACTCACCACACTCACCCACCTACTCACCACACTCACCCACCTACTCACCACACTCACCCAGCTACTCACCACACTCACCCACCTACTCACCACGCTCACCCACCTACTCACCACACTCGCCCACCTACTCACCACGCTCACCCACCTACTCACCACACTCGCCCACCTACTCACCACACTCACCCAGCTATTCACCACTCGCCCACCTACTCACCACGCTCACCCACCTACTCACCACACTCACCCACCTACTCACCACACTCGCCCAGCTACTCACCACTCGCCCACCTACTCACCACACTCACCCACCTACTCACCACGCTCACCCACTTACTCACCACACTCACCCAGCTACTCACCACTCGCCCACCTAATCACCACACTCACCCAGCTACTCACCACTCGCCCACCTAATCACCACACTCACCCAGCTACTCACCACACTCACCCAGCTACTCACCACACTCACCCACCTACTCCCCACACTCATCCACCTACTCACCACACTCACCCACCTACTCACCATACTCACCCACCTACTCACCACACTCACCCACCTATTCACCACACTCACCCACCTACTCACCACACTCACCCACCTACTCACCACGCTCACCCACCTACTCACCACACTCACCCACCTACTCACCACACTCACCCACCTATTCACCACACTCACCCACCTACTCACCACACTCACCCACCTACTCACCACACTCACCCACCTACTCACCACGCTCACCCACCTACTCACCACACTCACCCACCTACTCACCACACTCACCCACCTATTCACCACACTCACCCACCTACTCACCACACTCACCCACCTACTCACCACACTCACCCACCTACTCACCACACTCACCCACCTACTCACCACACTCACCCACCTATTCACCACACTCACCCACCTACTCACCACACTCACCCACCTACTCACCACGCTCACCCACCTACTCACCACACTCGCCCACCTACTCACCACACTCGCCCACCTACTCACCACACTCACCCACCTACTCACCACACTCACCCACCTACTCACCACACTCACCCACCTACTCACCACGCTCACCAACCTACTCACCACGCTCACCCACCTACTCACCACACTCGCCCACCTACTCACCACACTCGCCCCACCTACTCACCACACTCACCCACCTACTCACCACACTCACCCACCTACTCACCACACTCACCCACCTACTCACCACACTCACCCACCTACTCACCACGCTCACCCACCTACTCACCACGCTCACCCACCTACTCACCACACTCGCCCACCTACTCACCACACTCGCCCACCTACTCACCACACTCACCCACCTACTCACCACACTCACCCACCTACTCACCACACTCACCCACCTACTCACCACGCTCACCCACCTACTCACCACACTCGCCCACCTACTCACCACACTCGCCCACCTACTCACCACACTCACCCACCTACTCACCACACTCACCCACCTACTCAACACACTCACCCACCTACTCACCACACTCACCCACCTACTCACCACATTCACCCACCACCTCACCACACTCACCCAGCTACTCACCACACTCACCCAGCTACTCACCACATTCACCCACCACTTCACCACACTCACCCAGCTACTCACCACACTCGCCCACCTACTCACCACATTCGCCCACCTACTCACCACACTCACCCAGCTACTCACCACACTCACCCACCTACTCACCACACTCACCCACCTACTCACCATACTCACCCACCTACTCACCACACTCACCCACCTACTCACCACACTCACCCACCTACTCACCACACTCACCCACCTACTCACCACGCTCACCCACCTACTCACCACACTCGCCCACCTACTCACCACACTCGCCCACCTACTCACCACGCTCACCCACCTACTCACCACGCTCACCCACCTACTCACCACACTCGCCCAGCTACTCACCACGCTCACCCACCTACTCACCCACCTACTCACCACATTCACCCACCACCTCACCACACTCACCCAGCTACTCACCACACTCACCCAGCTACTCACCACATTCACCCACCACTTCACCACACTCACCCACCTACTCACCACACTCACCCACCTACTCGCGACTGTGTTGGCTGTGACTATGTCGCCTGCGACTGTGTTGCCCGCGTGTTGCCAGGAGTCACCAGGATTCTGTCGCCAAGAAATTCTTCTGACCCCCCCCCGCCACCACCACCGTGACTCAACCTCGTCCCCGTGGGGTGGGGGCTGAGACCCCCGTGTGCGGGGGGAGGAGCAGGCAAGGTCGACGTGTGGGGGAGGGGTAGTAGGGGGACGGGGGGATCTCCACTCGTTCATGACCGTACGGGATTGATCACGTGGGAAATGTTTATTGTTGTTGTTGTTGTCGTCGTCGTCGTTAAAATTGAGAACAAAGCCTCCGTGGTGATGAGAGTGAGTGGCGTGCGGGCGGTGGGGGGAGGGGGTGACGTGCGGGGGGGGGGGGGCTGCTGAGTAATCAAGGAGCCGGCTAATTAGCGCGCACGAGGCAATGAGCACACGGGGCTCGCTCGCGTCCCCCCCCGGCCCCCCCCCCCCCCCCCGTGTAAAGGGGATCCCCCCCCCTCCCCCCGTGACCCCTTCATCACGGCTGCACCCTGGAGAGAGGTTACGGGGACACGGGGACCCCCGTGATGAACCCCGGCTACCCCCACCCCCAGCCCCGCCCCCCCAGGAACTCATCACCTGACAGCAGCCGGGCCCCCCGTGACCCCCGTGACCCCCGTGACGACGTCGTCGCCTCCCCACGAACCCCCCAACGGGGTCTCGCTTGCCCCTCCCACTCTGCAGAGACGACCCTCGCCCTGACCCCTGACACGTAGACCAATCTGTGACCAGCTCCCACCCCCCCTCTTCCCCCGTAGCACCCCCCCCCTTCCCCCGTAACACCCCCCCCCCGCCACCGCATCACTCGAGTTTCCAGGAGCCCAGGACCCCCCACGACTTGAGCTTGACGTAGGCGAGGCCCAGGCAGGCGAACATGGCCACCAGCACGAGCACGATGGCCACCACGCGCCCCCCCTGGGGCTGGATGTTGGTGGTGAGGTACTTCTGCGGGCAGAGCAGAGCACAGCGGTGAGCTCAGCCCTCGCCCACCCAGCCTCGACAGACAAAGACTCCCCGTGTCGCCTTGACCCACCGACGGGGCGAGTGCTGTTAGAGGGCAGCACCTACGAAGGCCGGCACCGGCACACGAGGGGGTGGGTGGCCAGCACCACGCCCGGCCGCCTTTGTCTGCCTTCACTACCCACCGCTCCAGGTACTCATTTTAGGCTGAGTTGACCTCGGAGAGGCCCAGGATCGGTTCAGGTAATCGTCACTGGTGTTGGTCGTGAGCGGGAATCGAACTCGGGTCGCCGGGTTCGTAGCGCAGCGTGGCGCTGACCGCTGCATCACTCCCCATAGGCGACACGTCACACGCACGCACCCACACGGCGTTGCTCTATGATGCTCGGTGAACACGCTGCTGAAGCGGGCACAACGGAGCCCGCGTCCACTGCCCCCCTTAGCTGGCAGGGTCCGACTCGAGCTGAGGGTCGGGGGTGGGAGAATTCCTTGGTGGGAGGAACTTATTCCAATTCCCCCCCCCTTCCTTTCCCCCCTTCCCCCCCCTCCCCTGCCCTGCCCACCTGCCGGCCGGGCTCCTTGAACTGTAGCCGCTCGACCTCGCTGTCGTCCAGCACGCACACGCCGTCCTCCAGGAACATACTCTTGCACTTGGACGCTATCTGGTCAATCACCTCGTCCCTGGGGGGGGTGGGCAGGAGGGGGAGAAGGGGGGGGGCAGGGTGAAGGTGGGTGTGACATGAGCACAAGTGCGCGGGCGAATTTTCAAGTGAGTTCGCAGGTGAGCGGACAGCTGATTGTGGAGGTGAGTGTGGAGGTGAGTGTAGAGGTGAGTGTAGAGGAGAGTCGGTGAGTGGACAGCTGATTGTACAGGTGAGTGTACAGGTGAGTGTAGAGGTGAGGGAAAATGTGAGTAGGTAAGCAGACAGCTGATTGTAGAGGTGAGTGTAGAGGTGAGTGTAGAGGTGAGTGTAGAGGTTAGTCGGTGAGTAGATAGCTGATTGTAGAGGTGAGTGTAGAGGTGAGTGTAGAGGTGAGTGTAGAGGTGAGTGTAGAGGTGAGTGTAGAGGTGAGTGTAGAGGTGATTGTAGAGGTGAGTGTAGAGGTGAGTGTAGAGGTTAGTCGGTGAGTAGACAGCTGATTGTAGAGGTGAGTGTAGAGGTGAGTGTAGAGGTGAGTGTAGAGGTGAGTGTAGAGGTGAGTGTAGAGGTGAGTGTAGAGGTGATTGTAGAGGTGAGTGTAGAGGTGAGTGTAGAGGTGAGTGTAGAGGTTAGTCGGTGAGTAGACGGCTGATTGTAGAGGTGAGTGTAGAGGTGAGTGTAGAGGTGAGTGTAGAGGTGAGTGTAGAGGTGAGTGTAGAGGTGATTGTAGAGGTGAGTGTAGAGGTGAGTGTAGAGGTTAGTCGGTGAGTAGACGGCTGATTGTAGAGGTGAGTGTCGAGGTGAGTGTCGAGGTGAGTGTCGAGGTGAGTGTCGAGGTGAGTGTCGAGGTGAGTGTAGAGGTGAGTGTAGAGGTGAGTGTAGAGGTGATTGTAGAGGTGAGTGTGTATGCGAGCGCGCGATCTATAGTCGGGAAAGTGCGCATATGGTGATCGAGGTGTGCGTGAGACACAGGCGAGTGACGCGGATGAGCGCGTGGGTGAGTGCACGCGGTCATGTTCTGGTGGGTGAACAGGTGGGTGGACAGGTGGGTGGACAGGTGGGTGGACAGGTGGGTGTGCGTCACCCACAGGGGGCTCCACGGGGGGGGCACCTCCTCCCCCTCCTCGGCCTGGAAGCCCTCGGTGAGGAAGAACATGAGCGAGTCGAAGGTCACCTCGTGCTTCTCCAGGTTGAACGTGTACATCACTCCCTTGGCCAGGCTGCGGGCACGGGCGCGGGAGCGGTGGCGTGGTGGTTAGCACGCTACGGACACAGTTCGATTCACACTTCACGACCAATAACGGTGGCGAAATGTTTGATCCGGTTTCTGAGCCTCGCCTAGGTAGACTCAGCCTTAAATGAGTACGTGGCACGGTGTGTCACCATCACCATTGGGGAGACCAAGGCACTTGTGGTCACAGCCTGTTCAAGGCGACACCTTGTATGTGTGTGGGACTCCTTCCGCACCGCATGTCGCCGGTCGTGCTTCGTGCGGGGCCACACAGGAGCATACACACTGGACAGCAACAGCCGCCGTTCGCCACCAAGTGGTGGGGACGTCACCACGGCGCTTGTGCCAGGCTAGGTGCGCCTTGAGAACACCCAGGCGCACACGCAGCCACAGGTCGCTCATCTCCGTCGTACTGAGCCACGGGTGGAAATTCCTCATTCCCATGACGAGGACAGCCGACCTTGCGCAGAGTGGTATTGACCCGTCACGGATAATGATGAAGATGACGATGAGGAATGGTGGCAATGCTGCTGATAGTTGTATCGACTGCACTGATCAATCGTGTTGATGATGATGCTAATGGTGATGCTGATGATGCTGATGATGGTGATGGTGATCGTGATGATGGTGATGATGGTGATGCTGATGATGGTGATGCTGATGTTGATGATGGTAATGCTCATGATGGTGGTGATGGTGGTGATGGAAGATGAGAGATGTAATCGCTCTGAGCTCGTGTCCCGCCGTGACCTTGCCGTGACCTTGACGTGACCTTGACGTGACCTTGACGTGACTGGGACCTCACCTGCTGCCGGACTCCACGATGCGCTCGCTCCTGTGGTACTTTAGCTTCACCTCCTCCTGCTTGATCCTGGGGGGACGAGGGTGGGGGTGGAGAGGCGGTGGTGGTGGGGGTGTAACACGAAGCGGGGATCAGATGAGGTTCGGTGAGGGTGGGTGACCTCTCACCCCGGCCCCGTTCTTGCCGAGTGCCACCAACACGTGCTCACGCCGGGGCGTCCTGCTGCCCATTAGCCACGTCCTGAAGGGGACCCCCCTCCGTGTGAGGGACCCCCCCCCCCCCCGTGTAGGGGACCCCCCCCCCCGTGCTAAGGGGGTACGCACAGGATGATGGTGGGGAAGCAGCCCCGCTTGACCCCGAAGCGCTTGACCAGTCCCTCTGTGGTCTCCGAGTCCATGTCCACCACCCCCACCCGCGCCTCGCTGCGCGCCCTGCCACACACACCCCGCGCCACCATCACCACCACCAACACCATCAACACCACCAACATCACCACCAACACCACCAACACCACCACCATCAAGACCATCAACATCACCACCAACACCATCAACACCACCAACATCACCAAAACCACTACCACCATCAAGACCATCAACATCACCATCAACACCATCAACACCACCACCAACACCATCAACACCACCAACACCACCATCAACACCACCAACACCATCAAGACCATCAACATCACCACTGTCACTAACCAACACCATCAACATCACCACTGTCACTAACCAACACCATCACCGCCATCACCAACAAGTCCAACACCATACAAAGACAAAGATCCCCCGTGTAGCCTTAATAGATTGTTGCGACAAGTGCTGTTAGCGAGCAGCTCTGAAGGGCGGCCACCCACGAGAGGGTGGGTGGCCAAGCACCACACCCGGCCGCCTTTGTCTCCCCAGTTGTGATGTTTTTTTTACACACAACAGGTACTTATTTGAGGCTGAGTCTACTTAGGGGAGGCCCAGGACCGGTTCAACACTGATGTTGGCCTTAATCAAGAATCTAACTCGGGTCGCCGGGTTTGTAGCGCAGCGCGCGAACAGCTCCATTACTGCTCCATCAGCAGCAGCAGCAGTGTCATTAGAATCAGCAGCGTCATTAGAATCAGCAGCGTCAACCATCACCATCATCATCAGTGGCCCCCATGCCACCCGCCCCACTCACTTGGCCGCCACGGCTCCCATCACGGGCACCAAGGGCCGCACCTCGTCACATGACGGCTCGTAGCTGCGGATTGAATAAAACACGTGGTGTGAGTGAGTACACGTGGTGTGAGTGAGTACACGTGGTGTGAGTGTGTGAGTGAGTACACGTGGTGTGAGTGAGTGAGTACACGTGGTGTGAGTGAGTACACGTGGTGTGAGTGAGTACACGTGGTGTGTGTGAGTACACGTGCTGTGTGTGTGTGAGTGAGTACACGTGGTGTGAGTGAGTACACGTGGTGTGAGTGAGTACACGTGCTGTGTGTGTGTGAGTGAGTACACGTGGTGTGAGTGAGTACACGTGCTGTGTGTGTGTGAGTGAGTACACGTGGTGTGAGTGAGTACACGTGGTGTGTGTGAGTGAGTACACGTGGTGTGAGTGAGTACACGTGCTGTGAGTGAGTACACGTGGTGTGAGTGAGTACACGTGCTGTGTGTGTGAGTGAGTACACGTGGTGAGTGCACGTGCTGTGTGAGTACACGTGGTGACTGAGTACACGTGGTGTGTGTGTGAGTACACGTGACGTGAGTGAGTGAGTACACGTGACGTGAGTGAGTGAGTACACGTGGTGTGTGTGAGTACACGTGGTGTGTGAGTGTGTACACGTGCTGTGTGTGTGTGAGTGAGTACACGTGGTGTGTGTGAGTACACGTGGTGTGAGTGAGTACACGTGCTGTGTGTGTGTGAGTGAGTACACGTGGTGAGTGCACGTGCTGTGTGAGTACACGTGGTGAGTGTGTGAGTACACGTGTGAGTGTGTGAGTGCACGTGTGAGTACACGTGTGAGTACACGTGGTGAGTGTGAGTACACGTGTGAGTGAGTGAGTACACGTGCTGTGTGTGTGAGTACACGTGTGAGTACACGTGTGAGTGTGAGTACACGTGGTGTGTGTGTGAGTACACGTGGTGTGTGTGTGAGTACACGTGACGTGAGTGAGTGAGTGAGTACACGTGGTGTGTGTGTGTGTGAGTACACGTGGTGTGTGAGTACACGTGGTGAGTGAGTACACGTGCTGTGTGTGTGAGTACACGTGGTGAGTGAGTACACGTGTGAGTATGTGTGTGATTACACGTGCTGTGTGAGCACACGTGTGAGTACACGTGGTGAGTGTGAGTACACGTGTGAGTGTGTGAGTACACGTGTGAGTGTGTGAGTACACGTGTGAGTACACGTGTGAGTGTGAGTACACGTGTGAGTACACGTGTGAGTACACGTGTGAGTGTGTGAGTACACGTGTGAGTACACGTGTGAGTACACGTGTGAGTGTGTGTGAGTACACGTGTGAGTGTGTGAGTACACGTGTGAGTACACGTGGTGAGTGTGAGTACACGTGTGAGTGTGTGTGTGATTACACGTGTTGTGTGAGCACACGTGTGAGTACACGTGGTGAGTGTGAGTACACGTGTAAGTACACGTGTGAGTGTGAGTACACGTGTGAGTGTGTGAGTACACGTGTGAGTACACGTGTGAGTGTGAGTACACGTGTGAGTGTGTGAGTACACGTGTGAGTACACGTGTGAGTGTGAGTACACGTGGTGAGTGAGTACACGTGTGAGTGTGTGTGTGATTACACGTGCTGTGTGAGTACACGTGTGAGTACACGTGTGAGTGTGAGTACACGTGTGAGTACACGTGCTGTGTGAGTACACGTGTGAGTACACGTGTGAGTGTGAGTACACGTGTGAGTAGACGTGTGAGTGTGAGTACACGTGTGAGTACACGTGTGAGTGTGAGTACACGTGTGAGTGTGTGAGTACACGTGTGAGTGTGAGTACACGTGTGAGTGTGAGTACACGTGTGAGTACACGTGTGAGTGTGTGAGTACACGTGTGAGTACACGTGTGAGTGTGAGTACACGTGTGAGTACACGTGTGAGTGTGAGTACACGTGTGAGTGTTTGAGTGCACTCACAACATCACGAGCCACGTGGCCGGCGCGCCCTTCTGCTGGTTTCGAGTCGAGTTCTCGAAGTTGGCCCCGTGGAGTCGCTCGAGTCGCGCCCCCCGCGACTCCTCCACCCAGTCCACCACGGCCTGCGCCACGAACGCGCCTGCCGACGAGAGCCCCCCCCCCCAGTCGTCAGTCACGGGGAGGCGGGGGGGGGGCTCCATCGTGACAACACGCGCAGCAGCAGCAGCAGGCATCTGGCAGCACGCGAATGCCCTCCCCACGCGCTCGGCCACTCGCGCGTGAGACTCCTGCCCGCAGGCGCGGCGCGGCCACTCGCGCGTGAGACTCCTGCCCGCAGGCGCGGCGCGGCCACTCGCGCGTGAGACTCCTGCCCGCAGGCGCGGCCACTCGCGCGTGAGACTCCTGCCCGCAGGCGCGGCCACTCGCGCGTGAGACTCCTGCCCTGCCCGCAGGCGCGGCCACTCGCGCGTGAGACTCCTGCCCGCAGGCGCGGCCACTCGCGCGTGAGACTCCTGCCCGCAGGCGCGGCCACTCGCGCGTGAGACTCCTGCCCGCAGGCGCGGCCACTCGCGCGTGAGACTCCTGCCCGCAGGCGCGGCCACTCGCGCGTGAGACTCCTGCCCGCAGGCGCGGCCACTCGCGCGTGAGACTCCTGCCCGCAGGCGCGGCCACTCGCGCGTGAGACTCCTGCCCGCAGGCGCGGCCACTCGCGCGTGAGACTCCTGCCCGCAGGCGCGGCCACTCGCGCGTGAGACTCCTGCCCGCAGGCGCGGCCACTCGCGCGTGAGACTCCTGCCCGCAGGCGCGGCCACTCGCTCGTGAGACTCCTGCCCGCAGGCGCGGCCACTCGCGCGTGAGACTCCTGCCCGCAGGCGCGGCCACTCGCGCGTGAGACTCCTGCCCGCAGGCGCGGCCACTCGCGCGTGAGACTCCTGCCCGCAGGCGCGGCCACTCGCGCGTGAGACTCCTGCCCGCAGGCGCGGCCACTCGCGCGTGAGACTCCTGCCCGCAGGCGCGGCCACTCGCGCGTGAGACTCCTGCCCGCAGGCGCGGCCACTCGCGCGTGAGACTCCTGCCCGCAGGCGCGGCCACTCGCGCGTGAGACTCCTGCCCGCAGGCGCGGGCCACTCGCGCGTGAGACTCCTGCCCGCAGGCGCGGCCACTCGCGCGTGAGACTCCTGCCCGCAGGCGCGGCCACTCGCGCGTGAGACTCCTGCCCGCAGGCGCGGCCACTCGCGCGTGAGACTCCTGCCCGCAGGCGCGGCCACTCGCGCGTGAGACTCCTGCCCGCAGGCGCGGCCACTCGCGCGTGAGACTCCTGCCCGCAGGCGCGGCCACTCGCGCGTGAGACTCCTGCCCGCAGGCGCGGCCACTCGCGCGTGAGACTCCTGCCCGCAGGCGCGGCCACTCGCGCGTGAGACTCCTGCCCGCAGGCGCGGCCACTCGCGCGTGAGACTCCTGCCCGCAGGCGCGGCCACTCGCGCGTGAGACTCCTGCCCGCAGGCCGCGGCCACTCGCGCGTGAGACTCCTGCCCGCAGGCGCGGCCACTCGCGCGTGAGACTCCTGCCGCAGGCGCGGCCACTCGCGCGTGAGACTCCTGCCCGCAGGCGCGGCCACTCGCGCGTGAGACTCCTGCCCGCAGGCGCGGCCCTCGCGCGTGAGACTCCTGCCCGCAGGCGCGGCCACTCGCGCGTGAGACTCCTGCCCGCAGGCGCGGCCACTCGCGCGTGAGACTCCTGCCCGCAGGCGCGGCCACTCGCGCGTGAGACTCCTGCCCGCAGGCGCGGCCACTCGCGCGTGAGACTCCTGCCCGCAGGCGCGGCCACTCGCGCGTGAGACTCCTGCCCGCAGGGCGCGGCCACTCGCGCGTGAGACTCCTGCCCGCAGGCGCGGCCACTCGCGCGTGAGACTCCTGCCCGCAGGGCGCGGCCACTCGCGCGTGAGACTCCTGCCCGCAGGCGCGGCCACTCGCGCGTGAGACTCCTGCCCGCAGGCGCGGCCACTCGCGCGTGAGACTCCTGCCCGCAGGCGCGGCCACTCGCGCGTGAGACTCCTGCCCGCAGGCGCGGCCACTCGCGCGTGAGACTCCTGCCCGCAGGCGCGGCCACTCGCGCGTGAGACTCCTGCCCGCAGGCGCGGCCACTCGCGCGTGAGACTCCTGCCCGCAGGCGCGGCCACTCGCGCGTGAGACTCCTGCCCGCAGGCGCGGCCACTCGCGCGTGAGACTCCTGCCCGCAGGCGCGGCCACTCGCGCGTGAGACTCCTGCCCGCAGGCGCGGCCACTCGCGCGTGAGACTCCTGCCCGCAGGCGCGGCCACTCGCGCGTGAGACTCCTGCCCGCAGGCGCGGCCACTCGCGCGTGAGACTCCTGCCCGCAGGCGCGGCCACTCGCGCGTGAGACTCCTGCCCGCAGGCGCGGCCACTCGCGCGTGAGACTCCTGCCCGCAGGCGCGGCCACTCGCGCGTGAGACTCCTGCCCGCAGGCGCGGCCACTCGCGCGTGAGACTCCTGCCCGCAGTCGCGGTGAGACTCCTGCCCGCAGGCGCGGCCACTCGCGCGTGAGACTCCTGCCCGCAGGCGCGGCCACTCGCGCGTGAGACTCCTGCCCGCAGGCGCGGCCACTCGCGCGTGAGACTCCTGCCGCAGGCGCGGCCACTCGCGCGTGAGACTCCTGCCCGCAGGCGCGGCCACTCGCGCGTGAGACTCCTGCCCGCAGGCGCGGCCACTCGCGCGTGAGACTCCTGCCCGCAGGCGCGGCCACTCGCGCGTGAGACTCCTGCCCGCAGGCGCGCCACTCGCGCGTGAGACTCCTGCCCGCAGGCGCGGCCACTCGCGCGTGAGACTCCTGCCCGCAGGCGCGACCACTCGCGCGTGAGACTCCTGCCCGCAGGCGGCGGCCACTCGCGCGTGAGACTCCTGCCCGCAGGCGCGGCCACTCGCGCGTGAGACTCCTGCCCGCAGGCGCGGCCACTCGGGGGCGTTGGGGCGACACCCCACCGAGCAGCTGGAGATGAGAAATTGTTTTTCTAATAAAAAATACTTTTCTGTAAATTGTTTTGTTGTATTCTTGGTTATTTCGGTAAAGTCACGTAGAAGGGAAATAATAAAATAAGAACAATAAAAAATGTTCACGTTTCGACTGCAACACAAGCAATCATCATCAGGTGTGAAATCCACAGCAAGAAAATTTGAAAAAGTGTTTTTATTTTATTTTATTATTTCCCTTCTACGTGACTTTACCGAAAGAACCAAGAATATGAATCCCTGCAGTCACGAAAGCTTTAAATCAAAATTGTTTTGTTGTGTTTAAAAAATGTAAAAATATTATGAATCTTTCAACGTGAATTGCCGAATGAAGATAACATTTAAAGTTGTTCGTATTAGAAACCGCTGCAGCGCCAGAGGTCTCGTGGTGGCTGTGACGGCGTCCTCCGAGTGAGAGATCTCCCTTCATTCACTGCGATGAGCAGCTTCGAGCATCGTAGCCACGCCGTGTGAGAGCCACTCAGGGCAGTGGAAAGGGCGCCCGTGGCTGTCACGAGACGATGTCACAGCGCGTGGTGGCACCGCGTACATATAGCAGCTCGCGGTCTACACGCTCTCGGCTTTTGGCAGTGTCAAAGTGGGTGTGTAGTGTGGACTTGAGGGTCATGGGGACAGCATTTGGGTGCGTTGTTGTCTTGTTTAGGATTCATCTTCTTGGTTCTTTCGGTAAAGTCATCACGTAGAAGGGAAGTAATACAATAATAAAATAAAACATAATAAAATAATTCTCACGACGTTTCGGCCACAACGCAAGCAGCCGTCCTCAGGTGAAGACCAGGTCTTCATGAAAGCTTTAAATCGAAATTGTTTAGGATTGTTTATAAATAAGAAAGTAATATCACTTTCACGGGAAGGCGAATGACATGACGAGGTTGTTCTTGATGAGGTCACTCACAACAGCCCCACCTCGTGGGCACGTCACGAGCCGCCTCTGCTGCCCTGGCGCCTTGACCTCTCACGGGGTCACTCGACATCAACCTGAGCCTGGAACTTGATGATGATGATGATGAAGCAGATTATGCTGTTGCTGCTACTGGTGCCGCTAAAGCTGCTGATGATCATTCTAGTGCTGATGATGCTGGTATGTTGAACTTCTTTCGCACCGTGTTTAGCCAAACGTGCTAATCGAAGGTGCGTGATGGTATGTGTATTGCTAGTGCCGATGATGCTGCTACTATTGTTGTCCGATTAACATCACCATCTGCATTACCTGGCTCACCGGATCTGAACTCTCTGACTCGCTGCTGCGATCATGGTACGACGACTGATGCCGCTGGCGGCGCCTCACCCTGGTACATCACGGGCGTGGAAGCGGCGAAGAGGACGAGGCTCGGGAACTTCCACTCGGCGTCGAGGCCGAAGGCGGGGCTCCCCCCGCGGTGCCTCCACACGGCCACGCGGCGCTCCGCGGGCCCCGCCGACAGCGCCTCGGCCGCCTCCTTCACCACGAGCAGCGACGCCTTGCACGTGGGGCAGCCCTCCTCCGTGTCTGTGGGGGGCGCAGGGCGAGGAAGGGGCCAGGTCAGAACAGTGGTTGTGCAGAGTTGATCATCAGATAACTATATAGAGTTGATAATACAATACTTATATACAGTTCATAATCAAACAAGTATGAAAAGTTCATAATTAAGGTTGTGGGGTCAGATCGCGTAAGTATAAATGTGTCGTAACCCTCCACCATCCAACACAGCCAGTAAGGTTTGTCACGTAAATAAAACGTGCAAATTAGTTACTAGTATAGTGTATAGTGTAGTGTGTAGTGTATAGTGTAGTGTATAGTGTAGTGTATAGTGTAGTGTGTAGTGTAGTGTATAGTGTAGTGTGTAGTGTATAGTGTAGTGTATAGTGTAGTGTGTAGTGTATAGTGTAGTGTGTAGTGTATAGTGTAGTGTGTAGTGTATAGTGTAGTGTATAGTGTAGTGTAGTGTAGTGTATAGTGTAGTGTATAGTGTAGTGTGTAGTGTAGTGGTAGTGTAGTGTATATAGTGTGTAGTGTAGTGTATAGTGTAGTGTATAGTGTAGTGTGTAGTGTAGTGTATAGTGTAGTGTGTAGTGTAGTGTATAGTGTAGTGTATAGTGTAGTGTGTAGTGTAGTGTGTAGTGTAGTGTGTAGTGTATAGTGTAGTGTGTAGTGTATAGTGTAGTGTATAGTGTAGTGTGTAGTGTAGTGTATAGTGTAGTGTGTAGTGTAGTGTATAGTGTAGTGTAGTGTGTAGTGTAGTGTGTAGTGTATAGTGTAGTGTGTAGTGTATAGTGTAGTGTATAGTGTAGTGTGTAGTGTAGTGTATAGTGTAGTGTGTAGTGTAGTGTGTAGTGTAGTGTATAGTGTAGTGTGTAGTGTAGTGTATAGTGTAGTGTATAGTGTAGTGTGTAGTGTAGTGTGGTAGTGTAGTGTGTAGTGTATGTGTAGTGTAGTGTTATAGTGTAGTCTATAGTGTAGTGCATAGTGTAGTATACTACTTCAGCCCACCGGTGTGTTGGAGAGTAAATCCACAACATTTACAATTTGAGTAGCACTGTGACGTTTCGCTGGTAATTGCATCAAGCAGCATCATCGGGCGAGTTGCCAACACGCCGCTGGGTTGAAGTAGTCAACGAATTGGCGCATTTCGTGTACGTGACCAACCTTACTTGCTGTCAGGTGGTGGAGGCTTACGACACATTTATACTTACGCGATCTAACCCCAAAAAAAACCTTGATTATGAATAATATTGGTCGCGAAAGCCTCCTGCATGTAAACTTGATCATATAGAGTATTAAAACATAAGTTTCGCTGGCTGGAGGACGGACGAGGTGCAGTGAAGGCAGCAGCAGCAGCAGCCACGCGGTGGTGAGGTTCCGGGGCTACCAACGATTGCCCGAGCTCTGCGGGCCTCTATATATGAGAAAGTCTGTACCGGCTTACACGAGCGGAAGTCAATCGGAGCAACCGAAGAAATGCTACGGTGGGGCAAACGCTGTTCCCGCTACAGACGGGAACAGGTGGAGTCCACGTGCTCACTGAGCCACTTCTGGCGAAGCCCAGGCCACACGGCTCCTCCTCGACGCCCACGGGAAGGGAGTTTAAACCCATCTGTGCGTGATCCACCAACCCTGGCTGCTGCCTCCACAGTGCTGGACGACTAGCCACGTGCAGCGCAGCCACCACTGCCCAGCTGATGGTGGTGGTGATGATGATGACGATGGTGGTGTGATGATGATGGTGGTGGTGATGATGATGATGGTGGTGATGATGATGACGATGGTGGTGGTGGTGATGATGGTGGTGATGATGATGGTGGTGGTGATGATGATGGTGGTGGTGATGATGACGATGGTGGTGGTGATGACGATGATGGTGGTGGTGATGATGATGATGGTGGTGGTGATGATGACGATGATGGTGGTGGTGATGATGATGGTGGTGGTGATGATGACGATGGTGGTAGTGATGACGATGGTGGTGGTGATGATGATGGTGGTGGTGATGATGACGATGGTGGTGATGATGATGATGGTGGTGGTGATGATGATGATGGTGGTGGTGATGATGACGATGATGGTGGTGGTGATGATGACGATGGTGGTGGTGATGATGACGATGGTGGTGGTGATGACGATGGCGGTGGTGATGATGATGGTGGTGGTGATGATGACGATGGTGGTGGTGATGACGATGATGGTGGTGGTGATGATGATGATGGTGGTGGTGATGATGACGATGATGGTGGTGGTGATGATGACGATGGTGGTGGTGATGATGACGATGGTGGTGGTGATGACGATGGTGGTGGTGATGATGATGATGGTGGTGGTGATGATGACGATGGTGGTGGTGGTGATGACGATGGTGGTGGTGATGACGATGGTGGTGGTGATGATGATGATGGTGGTGGTGATGATGATGATGATGGTGGTGGGGTGGTGGTGATGATGATGATGATGGTGGTGGTGATGATGACGATGGTGTGGTGGTGATGATGTGGTGTGGTGATGATGATGATGGTGGTGGTGATGATGATGATGGTGGTGGTGATAATGACGATGGTGGTGGTGATGATGGTGGTGGTGATGATGATGACGATGGTGGTGGTGATGATGATGGTGGTGGTGATGATGACGATGGTGGTGGTGATGATGATGATGGTGGTGGTGGTGATGATGACGATGGTGGGTGGTGATGATGGTGGTGGTGATGATGATGGTGGTGATGATGATGGTGGTGATGATGATGACGATGGTGGTGGTGATGATGATGGTGGTGGTGATGATGATGGTGGTGGTGATGATGACGATGATGGTGGTGGTGATGATGACGATGGTGGTGGTGATGATGACGATGGTGTAGTGATGACGATGGTGGTGGTGATGATGATGGTGGTGGTGATGATGACGATGGTGGTGATGATGATGATGGTGGTGGTGATGATGATGATGGTGGTGGTGATGATGACGATGATGGTGGTGGTGATGATGACGATGGTGGTGGTGATGATGACGATGGTGGTGGTGATGACGATGGCGGTGGTGATGATGATGGTGGTGGTGATGATGACGATGGTGGTGGTGATGACGATGATGGTGGTGGTGATGATGATGATGGTTGGTGATGATGACGATGATGGTGGTGGTGATGATGACGATGGTGGTGGTGATGATGACGATGGTGGTGGTGATGACGATGGTGGTGGTGATGATGATGATGGTGGTGGTGATGATGACGATGGTGTGGTGGTGATGACGATGGTGGTGGTGATGACGATGGTGGTGGTGATGATGATGTGGTGGTGATGATGATGATGATGGTGGTGGTGGTCATGATGATGATGGTGGTGTGATGATGACGATGGTGGGGTGATGATGATGGTGGTGGTGATGATGATGATGGTGTGGTGGTGATGATATGTGGTGGTGATAATGACGATGGTGGTGGTGATGATGGTGGTGGTGATGATGATGACGATGGTGGTGGTGATGATGGTGGTGGTGATGATGACGATGGTGGTGGTGATGATGATGATGGTGGTGGTGATGATGACGATGGTGGTGGTGGTGATGATGGTGGTGGTGATGAGATGGTGTGATGATGATGGTGGTGATGATGATGACGATGGTGGTGGTGATGATGATGGTGGTGGTGATGATGATGGTGGTAGTGGTGATGATGATGATGGTGGTGGTGATGATGACGATGGTGGTGGTGATGACGATGGTGGTAGTGATGACGATGTTGGTGGTGATGATGACGATGGTGGTAGTGATGACGATGGTGGTGGTGATGATGATGGTGGTGGTGATGATGACGATGGTGGTGGTGATGATGATGATGGTGGTGGTGATGATGACGATGGTGGTGGTGATGATGGTGGTGGTGGTGATGATGATGATGGTGGTGGTGATGATGATGATGGTGGTGGTGATGATGATGATGGTGGTGGTGATAATGACGATGGTGGTGGTGATGATGATGGTGGGGTGATGATGATGACGATGGTGGTGGTGATGATGATGGTGGTGGTGATGATGACGATGGTGGTGGTGATGATGACGATGGTGGTGGTGATGATGATGATGGTGGTGGTGATGATGACGATGGTGGTGGTGGTGATGATGGTGGTGGTGATGATGATGGTGGTGATGATGATGGTGTGATGATGATGACGATGTGGTGGTGATGATGGTGGTGGTGATGATGATGGTGGTAGTGGTGATGATGATGATGGTGGTGGTGATGACGATGGTGGTGGTGATGATGACGATGGTGGTAGTGATGACGATGTTGGTGGTGATGATGACGATGGTGGTAGTGATGACGATGGTGGTGGTGATGATGATGGTGGTGGTGATGATGACGATGGTGGTGGTGATGATGATGATGGTGGTGGTGATGATGATGATGGTGGTGGTGATGACGATGGTGGTGGTGATGATGATGATGTGGTGGTGATGATGATGATGGTGGTGGTGTGATGATGATGATGGTGGTGGTGATGATGACGATGGTGGTGGTGATGACGATGGTGGTGGTGATGATGATGGTGGTGGTGATGATGATGATGGTGGTGGTGATGATGATGATGGATGGTGGTGGTGATGATGATGGTGGGGTGATGATGATGGTGGTGATGATGATGGTGGTGATGATGATGACGATGGTGGTGATGATGGTGGTGGTGATGATGATGACGATGGTGGTGGTGGTGATGATGATGATGGTGGTGGTTTGATCGGACAAATGTCGTTGGTGATGCCGCTGCGTTGGCAGTGGTGCACAAACAAAACCACTCAGCACGTCCCGTGTCAAGAGCAACGCTGCGTGTGTGTGGCCTTAAAAGGAAAATAGAACAGCGACGTTTCGAGCAATGGCCCCTTCATAGCAAACAACAAAAGCGAGCCATTGCCCGCAACGTCGCCTGTTATCTGCGTGTCCCCAGTGAGCCCCACCGCACGAGTGGGCGCGTGGAGGAGTTTGTTGTCGCTGCTGCCTGTGGGGCGATGCTGCTGCTGTC